GATTCAAATCAAAAGTTCTCCGTTTCAGGGATTCAAATCAAAAGTTCTCCGTTTCAGGGATTCAAACAGGATCTCTCCTTTTCAAGGATTCAAATAAAAAATTCTACGTTTCAGGGATCTTTGGGGTGAACGAAAGGAGCTTCCTCGTACGATGTATGATGAGTACCTTACGCCGACTGGTAAATCCTTCCACCATGATAGCCAGCATTATAGATTATGGCATCGATACGATAACAAAAAGAATACAGAAACAGCCATTCTTCCACTGAGCTACCGTCTCTTGTACATAAACTAAGTATAACTTTTTATAAATTTCAAATGCATCATAAAACCAAAGAGAAAATAAATGCGCATTCCCCAAACAAATATGCGACCCTAAATCATATAACGGCATACCGGACGTTCCGTAGTGATAGTTCCAAGTCCATATTTGGACCCTTATTCATGAAACCGTGTCATCTGTGTAGGAGAGCGGTATTTATGAACACGTGCGTACTTTTCTAACTAATCATTATGTGAAGACTGTTAATTGGTGTTTTTGTATGTTGTATTGAAATAAGTTTCAAGAAGAACGCAAGTGAAAATCAGTAGAAATTCGAGATTCTTTAAGTGACTTCTATTTATCATATCGAGTTTTTAGACTTTCGCGATTGTTACGCATTGAAAATAAATCCATTTTTTCGGATCTAATTCGCGTAGGGATATTTATTTTTTCAAACGAATGTTTGAAAAAACAAATACGACGTGCTCTTCCTTTACTTAGTAGCAGTAGAGCTCCTTGTTAAAGTTCAAGTTTCGTCCAGGGAAGTACAGCCACCTTGCCTATTTCTGTCGTCAAGCAATAATGTGATCATTATTGCGTTCCGGTTTTGAAGGGCAAGTCTGCTGGTGAAATTACAGACACATGGGACTTATCAACATATATCTCAGGGTGACAGGCGTAGTCTCAGATCTTTGCCATTTAAAGCTCTGAGTGGCACTGCAACTGTTAAGGACTTTCGTGTAGCTTACCACCAAGCACACGACTCGTTCGTCTCGTCACTTCATATTATAAAAAAGTACTGTTTGTGTTTTTTAACTGACTACAAAAAATGAGGAGGTTTTCAATTCGACTGTGTTTTTTTAATTTTGTTTTTGTGTTTGTGTTACGCGATTGCTCCGATATTTGTGAACCGATTTCAATAATTATTTTTTTTCCTGGAAAGGGAATACCTCAGTTGTAGTCCCATTTAAGTTTGAAGAAAATGTTTTATCTTTAAGGGTGGCAAATTAGGGTTGAATCCGGCTTATTGGATTTCATCCAATTTCCGTTGCCTGATCAATAAAATTTGGCAAGTAGATGTGATTCCTCAAACTTTTGAGGTAGGTTGTTTTTATAAAAAAAGTTATAATTATGTAACAAGTTTTGTATTGATTGTTTATCTTATTAATAATGTTCTTTTAATTACCATTGACGTAGAAAAAGTGTTATAAACCAAGTTACAAATCAACTTATAAGGAATTCAATAAAACCAACATCATTAATATTGCATTCATATCACTTCACCGCTCATCCCCATTCATCTAATGCGGAAAACCAAACAGTCAATCTCTTCTTAACTTAACCACCTTACAAATACACGTAATAAATACAAAAACGCACTTTATATAACGACAATACGTATTACGTTGAAAGAAGTACGACGCTGCATTTGTTAGACAATTTTTGTCAATCTCCACACATTACACCAATTCACGAATACGTTTAAGATGAACAAAAATCGACTTTGTGTTATCAGAATAAGGGTCATGTGAAAAGGAATATAAATGTGCATTTGTCGGACAATTTTTCTTCCCACCCCATGTAATTAACTATCGCCCCTTCCGAATACTAAATACCTATTTAGTATCAACTATCTTTGCTAGAAAGAGACGCATATATACAAGTGCAATGGCGAGAAAGAGACAAATATATAAGGGGTAAGACATCACCCTAAGTTCCCGTAATGTCTATGGATGTTTAAAAGATGGTTCCCATTGCTAGATTATTTTTAGATGACAAACCGAGTGTGAAGTGATAGGAAGTTGTTTATTTACGGATAAGTGAGGGTATCTAATTTAGAGAAGGGTGCGTTACGGGCTTTTTTTGGAGTTAAACGATGGTAAATAAATCTTTAGAAATGGTTATTAGTAGCAGTAGAGTTGCTTGTGAAAGAGTTTGTCCAGGGAAATAACGCCACCTTATCTATTTCTGCTGCCAAGCAGTAATGTGATCAATACTGCGTTTCGGTTTTTAACCGGCTTCAAAAAAGGAGGAGGTTCTCAACTGTGTGTATGTTACATCATTACTTTTGTGAACCGATTTTAATGATTCTTTTTTTGTTGGAAAGAAGATACCTCAGTACTGGTCCCATTTAAATTTGAAGAAAGTATTCCACCTCTAAGAGTGGCAAACTAGAAAATGAATCCGGTTTTGTGCACTTTCCGGTAACCGATTACAATAAAATTTGGCAAATAGATGTAATTCCACAAATCTACAGGCACATGGGACTTGTTAACTTTATGTATCAAGTTGACGGTAGCAGTGGCAGTCCTCTTCAGGTCTTTGCGAATTAAAACTCTGTGTGGCACTGCCACTGTTATGGATAGGCGAAAACGTATCATGAAAAGAGCTTTTTCTAACTATTATAAAGGCGAAAGTGTGCCTGGAAAAGTATAGAAGACAATTATTTATTTGATATTATCTACATCACAATATTATAATTTAAATTACAATATCATGGACTAATATGATAGTTAAACTAATATAAACAACAATAATTAATGTAAATAGTATTTATTATTCTCACACAAAGTCTTAGAATATATTACAGTAGTGTGACATCATCAAATCAGTGTGAGAAGACGTCTGTACTAGGAGACCTCTATTACAGGTCACCAGCCCCTCCACACTTTTTACCCATTTATCCATTTATCCGGATTGTAATAAATATTATGTATTACTATCATGATGTTAATTTTTTTGCGAAATTACTTCACTAATTAGTGAAAATATGCAAGTAAGGTACAATAAAAGCTTATAAATAATAGAAACTGAAAGTAGGATTAAATTATATGAATATAATTGGATCCCCGCGGCAAGGCGCCCAAGATGCTGGCATCGTTCCCCCCTTGTATAGGTTTACTAATACGTTGGGCAAGGTAGCTGCCGGCCCTTGGGTTGCCTATTAACTTTTTTGGATAACATTTTGTAGGGCACCGGAACCCCACAGGCAAAGGGTTTTGACTCCAAAGGGTACAAGTAGGTAGTGGGAGCCGAGATCCTGGTACCTATCACACTTTATTCTTTAGAGCCAGCCCTCTTGCTGATATGCTAGAGATGAAACGGGACAAGTGTGTCGGCACACGTGGTATCCTACACCACGTCCCGGCCCATATTGTCACTCCACTCGAGCACATTAACTTTTATTGTAAGGTACTGAATTTTGTGTTACAAAAACGAGCGATTCGTTCTGTGTACCGTTTAGGTACTCGGGTTTCTCTCAGAGAAAAGTTTAAGGAGATTGGTATCATGACTGTGGCATCAGAGTACATTTACTCAAATATTTTATATGCCCTTAAAAATATACACAATTTCAATAAGAAAGAAGATAGCCATAATATTAACCTTAGAGCTAAGTCCAAACTCATGGTACCACGATTTCGTTTAACTAAGATAAATTATTTATGGGGAACTGTATACGTTTTTACAATAATATTCCGGAGCTAATATTAAGATTATGATTTCCTAAGTTTAAAACTTACATTAAAAGTATTTTAATTGAAAAGTCGTAATAGAAAATTGAAGACTACTTTTTTTACAATACTTACTAAGTGACGGGATGCACAAGTCATGTGTCTGGTGGTAAACTACACGCCTGTCCATAACACATGCAGTGCCACTCAGAGCTTTAAATCACAAAGATCTGAATGGCACTGCCACTGGGCCCGACACCCTGAGACATAAGTTGACAAGACCCATGTGCTTGTAATTTCACCAGCAATCGGAACGCAATAATGCTCATATTACTGCTTGACGGCAGAAATAGGTAAGGTGACAGTACTTCCCTGGATGAACTCTTTCATAAGGAGCTCTAAAACTGAAGGCTTGCCAAAATTTATCTTATAATTTACAATATCGAATTATTTTATTGCTACAATTGTGAAAATCTAAGAACTGTATAATAAAGGGAGCGTTAACCGGGGATTCAATCATTTCATCGCTAGTAACAGATTTACTATATTATTACTATATTAGCGTAGATGCATTTTGTGATAATGTGGTAAAATGGATAACAAATTAACAATCCGTTCAATTGAAACCATTGCGATAATGACAAGACAAATAAACATAAAAAAACACTATACAATCACTTCATAGGTAAGTAGAAGCAAAGCTCCAAAATCTTGCAGTCACAGTTTTCAGTAAAGAAATTGTATCTAATAATTTTGATTTCGTTTGTGTTTGAAGTACAGTATGTGTAAATTGATAAACGTAAAACCAATAACAAATAAATAAATCACAAATCAAATTATTGTTACTAAAGCAGCACCGTACTAAAATGATGAGCGCTAATTTGAAACGGATTCGTGGACGGCAGCGAAATATAGCAAACGAAACCCGCCGTAATCTCATAAAGGGAGCTCCACTCAAAAGGATTTAACAAGCGGCATTCACGACTGCTCATTATATTTTTATACTTTATACCTCTGGTGGACATAAAGTGCGCGATCAAAACGCGCCAGCCCCTACAAAAGGTAATTATGTTTTGATTCCTACAAAAAAAAAAATCGAGTATCACAAAGGAGACTAACGAGATAAGAGCGTGCTAAATCGCTCTCCCCTCGGTCCCCGCTCGGATCAATTCGGAGCCGAACGGTCGATTGGCGGAGCGGGACAGCTTGATGGCAGGGGCGGAGCGCCAGAGACACGCCCCCGCGCGCCGCGAGGCTCCCCAGCCGGCCACCGCCGCCAGTCAGCCTGCGACCGCGCCCGCATGCGTGCACGATCCCACGATCGCGACCAAGTGTGAACTGTGCTAAATGGAACTGACCAGTCAATGTTAAAGAAACAAAGCTACGAGGATAAAGAAGTGAACATGGCGATACAGAGTGTTTCCAAATACCCGAGCAGCCCGGCCGAAGCCACGGAACCACCTAAAACGTCCAGGATCAGCTTCAGCGTTGCCTCCATTCTGGCAGATAAGAAGGCCGGTTCGCCTGATGAAACAGCAGAGATGATCAGGCATCATAGGAGTATTCCAGAGTCTCCGTTAAGACAGTCACCGTCGGCTCAGCCTGAGCTTCCTGGCGGCAAGAGTTTGTCTCCAAGGCCGTCATCTCAAACGCCTCCGTTAAATCTAAATGTATCAGCGACGGTGACATCGTCGGATGATGAATATGAAGATTCGGTAAACCAAGAAGACTCAATTGTAGACGTAGAAGATTTGCAAAACGGGGCACAGAGTGAGGACGAGGAGAGATCGACTGCGAACGAGAAGGAGCGTTTAGGAGTGGTCCGGCCGACGCCGTTCAGCGCATTGGCGGCGGCGGCGGCAGCTTACCACGGACTCGGCTGGCCTGGTCATCCCTCTGTCGTGCCTTCGTTCGGACCACTCTTCCAGTCACATTTTCCCGTAGGACACTTAACAGGTCAGTGATTTGATACTTTGGATTTTTTACGGATCCCACTTTTTTGGGGAAGACAAATTTTAATGCCTTAAAATCATCAAATTTCAATTCGGCGAATAATTAAAATCCGCTAACAATTACCGTCGATAAGAAATTACTCTCAACAAATCGAGTGTAAGCAGTAACAATTATTCAACGGGCAATAGATTCTCATGGCAGAGTAACAGGTGATAATTTTACAATGGCATTAAAAATTTCTTCTCACATATCACTTAATGGCGTGTAGCGTGTCGCTGAGTTTTTGCAGCCACTGCGGCCATAATTTATGGTACTGCCTTCGGGTTCCGTGCAATCAATCATTTTACTTGCACGTTTCAATGTTTCTTTGTGACTATTGACGTTCTGTGTAGCTTTCTCTTTTCGGTTTTCGAATTGACACATCAGCTTAGTATCGTCATTTATTTAAGAGGTATTAATTTTATTAATACTGAAAGTACTTCGTAGAGTACTTTTAAATGTCAATGAACAATGCCTAATATATTAAATTGCGCGCATGTTTCAAATGTCAAACAATTTTTAATCACACCGTGTAAAATATGTAATTATTGGCTATCATTGTTTTTTGTTTAATATTACCATATTTAATAATTACATTCTCCGCTATTCTGCCATTACATATAATGCATTTCGTTTATAAGAAAAGATTTCGTGTAAAAATATACTTTATTGCGTTTATAATTTATTACAGAGACCGTCATTAACAATAATTAAATATATAAATTATTGTCAATAATCTGAAATAAATGGCTGAGAAAGGTTAATTGTTTTCATGTCATTTTACCAAATTAATTAAGCATATTTATGAATATGTAAAACAGTTGCTCTAGGACCTTTGAAATGGCAGTAATAGCATCCAAATTAAAATTAAAATTTCTTTATTTCATATGCAGTATAAGAAAAAAATTACAATACGAATTAATAAATATAAGTGACGTCACAAATACGTCTATAGGTCACACGCTGATGGCTATGGAGTACTTAGACCGCGCTGATATAGTGATACCTATAGTCCGAATTGATTCGTTTTAAAACCAAAGGACCCAATTAAAAATGGGAAATATTCAAAAACAGATTCACTTTCTGTCACGAGGTTTGTGTTATCTATAAAAGTATTAATAGTAGATTTAAGGTAAAGGCTTTTGAGATGAATGATCCTGCTGACGGTCACGACTATGCGGCTGACATGGGACCTGTAAAGAGCTAGAAAATTTGGTTTGTTTGAAAAAACTCATATATAATTTAGATCAGGAAAAATACTTTCAGGAATCTAAAAACTGGATCTCATTCGATGTAAAAGATAATATGTGGGAACTTATTAGGAATAAGTACAAAATGTGAATAAACAGGATGAGGTTAAAACCACATAACAGGTTTTTCCACTATTATTCATAATTAACTCACTGTTAACGGTATTAGTCGAAGAGAGATTAGAAATGTTCTTTTTTTATAACTTGCAGCGGACTGTTTGACAATGGAACGGGTGCAGTTAGCAAGTTACGCAATATCGGCTTCCTAGGTTTTCGCGAACTATTTTTTATGAATCTAAATGTTTTTTTACATCGATTATCAATTATTATCGTTAAATGAGTGTATTAGTTTGTTATAATCATGTTATAATACAATAAGTTTGTTATTATGCAAAATCTAACACATAGAAGAATTCCTTTGATCCGCAAAAAAGCCGTTAGAACCAAAGATTTGCAATAAATGTTCATACTCTGCCGTCTTATTCCTGTGAGTTATATAACAAAATTACTCCCATCCAAAGCATGTCTGGCACATCTTATTTTTTAAATTTAATAGTATTGGATTTGATTCCATTTTGGAGTACAATATATTATTTTTATATTGTATTATATTGCATAGAGAAATTTGTAAGGTCTGACTCGTTCTGTAGCTCAGTTTAAAGAGCGGTAGCCCCGGCACGGCGAGATCGTTGGTTCGAGGATATTTGTTTTTTCAAACAAACCAACGTTCGAGCACTTTAGAGGCCCTATAGTCACAGCTCATTAAAACGGTAAAGTCATCAACTAGACATGTCTAATGTCAATACAAACCACCCTATTATGAACTATAGTTACAAAAGGTATTAATTTAAATATGTTTTTTTTTATAATATCAAGTGACGGGACGAACAAGTCATGCGCCTGGTGGTAAGCGACACGCCTATCCATAACAGTCGCAGTACCACTCAGAGCTTTAAACCGCAAAGATCTTATGGCACTGTCACTGCGTCTGTCACCTGAGACATAAGTTGACAAGCCCCATGTGCACGTAGGTAATTTCACCAGCACCCTTACCGTTCATAACCGGAACACAATGCTCACATTACTGCTTGGCGGCAGAAATAGGTAAGGTGGCAGTACTTCTCCGGACGAGCTCTTTCACAAGAAGCTCTACTGCTACTTACAATTTACTAAAGAACGTTGCGTTTTACGTTACATACGATTGCATATTGTAATTAGTCCTCTAGGCTTCACTCGCATAGACCTCGGAATGTGATTTTACAATGCATAAATGTCCTAGGCGTAAACGTATAGAAAAATGTCTTTATTTTTCGAGTTTCTCTCAAACTATGGACATTAATATGAATAAACCAGTACAGAGTACTAAAAAACCGACCTCAAAAGTCATTCATCCCCTACTTTGCCACCCCTTTTCTTCAAATTTAAATGGGAACACTACTGACTATGTACCCTACGTACCCTCTTTCCAGGAAAAGAAAAATCATCAAAATCTTTTTTCAAAGTCGGTTAAAAAATAATTTTCATTCTCATCATGCTCTAAAAGTACGTGAATATAGCCTTACGTAGCGGGAGTAAAGTGCATAATTTCATCCCTAAGGAGTAAAAAGTACCCAGTTTTTTAATTTACTTCGAGTAACCTCTTAGAGGATGGAAAGGAAAAAGGAAAGTGACCTAGACACACTCAAACAGCCAGTAGGACGATCGGTTTTAGTTCCGTGCCTTTTCCGCATAGACGGTGGCGCCATATTATTTTCCCGCGTTATTGCGTTTGTGTATCTATGGAAAATTTTAGTAAAAGCGACGTAGCACGTAAATCGATCGAAATTCGCACACGATTGCCAAAGACTGCTAATCGTGGCGTTTTGTTATGTTTGTTGCATCTGTTGGAAAGAAAATACCGCGATAATTGAAAACATTTGTTTAGTGATTTTGTTGTAGATGGGAAACGATTGAAATATTTTTTTTCGCGATGAATGAAAAAAGTAATTTTCAAGACTAAACGCCAATATAAACCAGTAAGTAATAGACTATAGGATATCTACCTCGGGTATTTATTTTATTGGCTCGTTTTAGTCCCTCGATAAAAAAATATACCATTTGACAAATCAAAAAACAAACCAAAAATAATTTCCTTCCGGGTTTTCCAATTTATTTTTAATGCAAAATTAAATATAATTATAATGTATTCTTTCGGAAAATCCATGTAGAAATATATATAATATTATTAATTAAAATATATAAGCCAATATAGTTATTTGTTCAGGAAAATACCGCTGTTAATTGTGAACCACAAATCGATTGTTTTATAATGATTGTGTTTTTGTTTAATTAATGCATTCTATTGTTAAAATACATTTATTTAATTAAAATATAATGACGCTTATTAAAGTCTGACTATTCGCGTGGTCCATTTTGTTATCATTTAGGACTTTTTAGAATTACGTACGTAATGTCTGACTGCGTTATTCTCATATGAAGGAATCAATAAATAAATTATGTATGAGTAATTTTTATTAGTGACTAACTCTAATAAATACCAGGTTAGTTTTAGAATTACTGTATTATGTTTATTCATAATCAACAGCACAATTGACTTATGAATAAACTTTTTTTTATGGAACCTGGTAACAGGACGAACACGCCATACGCCTAGTGGTAAGCGACACGCCTGTCCGTAACAATAACAGTGCCAGCCAGAGCTTTAAATCGCAAAGATATGAGGGGCACTGCCACTGCGTTATTCACCCTGAGACATAAGTTGACAAATCCTACGTTTCTGTAATTTCACCAGATTTCTTAGCTTGGCGGCAGAACTAGATAAGGTGACAGTACTTCCCTGGACGAACCCTTTCACAAGGAGCTCTACTGCTACTAAATACAATACAGTTACCTAACAAATACATAGACAACCACAAATTACACCTAAACTCACGAGAGAAATAAGTGTAGGCCATACAAATATTTTTCCCGGCCAAGGAGTCGAACCCGGGACCTCTGCGTGGCAGTCCAGCGTGGTAACCGTTCGCCACGAGGCAGTTTAAAATCGTTATTTGTATTTCTACATATCTAACAATAGCCGGTATGCCAAAATAAGTTTTATGTCTATTAATGGATAAAGCATTAAACTGAAATAATAATTTTTGTAACAGTCACTCCTCCGCGTAAGGTGTTTTTTATTTGTAGTTCTTTATGTCGTGGACTTGTCTAAACATAATAGATTAAGTGGTTGGTAGTTTGTTAAAGAAATTTGTTTTCAAACTCATTAAGTACTTGATTGCGGACTTGATTTCTTCGATAATATTGGACTAAGTCACGATGTCCCAGCTCCTAGTTCTTTGGTTCCTCCAGCTATCATCTTCCCAAATATTACGGAAGATTTATCTTTCGGCGTCAAGAAACTTGTTCTCTTCCTTCAGAGTTATTGTAATATTTGTAATGTAAATATAATTGATTCTTAACACTTAAACCCGAAAACAAGTTCCGTAATCCAAAGTTTCGGGACTTCCATGCAAAGTGGGTTGTCCCGTAAATCCACCATCTTGTCCCGCGTCTCAATTGCGGTAGAAGCACCTATTGTTTCCATTCGACAGATCCGTTATTTATGTTTTTGGCTTATTGAGCTTTGCTGGGTCGTTTGTTTTTGAACCAAAACAGGTTTTCAAAGGGTAGGGGATTTGAATACGACGCTTCGAGTTTGTTGAGTTTTTACGTAAA